GAGTCACCCGCACGCTCGTCTGCTCCCGACGGAGCCTGGGAAGCGTGGGAATGCGCCCAGCCCTCCGGATAGCCCCCAGCATTCCTGGGAGGATGCTCCCTGCCTGCGGATTTGCAGGTAGCAAACAGGGCAGCAGACCCAGCCCTGCTAAACCCCACGGTGCAAGCACTCAATCCCTCCCAAAACCGCATCCGAAGCGCGGCCCTCGATCCATCCACCAGCCCAGCGTGTCCCTGTGGAAGCGGCCGGCACACGGCAACTCCACGCACGTGTTCCCGAGGTGCCGGAGCCGCCCGGGAGCTCCCTCTGCTCCGCGCTGAAACCCAGTCCTGTCCGCGGGAGGAGGGAGGGAGGCCGGGAGGTGAGGAATGCTGGGGGCCTGGGGAGGATGGAGCCGCTCTCCCTGTGGAAGCCATTAGATATTCAACACTTCATTTGTTTCCAGCCGTCCTGGGCTGCAGCACGGGGCTCGAGGACGGGAGGCTCTTCTCTGACGTAACCAGGAAGCAGCTGCAAAATTAAGGAATCCCTCATGACATCATAAAAAGGGTCGACGGTTTACAGGGGAAGGTATAAAAATTAATGACATATTCCCACCCGAAGCAGCAAAACCTGCCCGAGAGCCGCAGAGGAAGCCGCGCTCTCCCCGGCACCGCAGGGCTGCCCGGCATCCGCGCCTGGGATCCGCATCCGTGTGCCAGGGGTGGCCACCAGCTCAGCCTCGGCAGAGCCCTAGGGCGGGCGAGGGGAGGGTTTTAAGGGTGACTTTCTCTCACGCTCGGGGCTGCTCAGGAGTCGCTGACAAAGAGCGGGATTTTGGGAAGCTCCGGCAGAGCTGGTTCTTCATTCCCGTGGGGAGCAGGCGCAGCGCCGCGAGCTCCTCCGCGCCGCTCGGGCCGACGCGGCAGGAACCGCCGCTCGCCTTGAGGACGAGCCCCGAGCCGTTTCCACTGCGAAAAGGGAAAAGGATAGTGGTTTAAAATTAACTGCAGCCTCTTCCAGGAAATATCAGTGGAAAGAAGCAGCCATTTTTAGAAATGTTATTCTCAGAAATTTCCTGAAAAGACCCATCAGTCAAAACACAGATTGGAGCCGTTTCCACCTGCGCCGAGCAGCGCTCCGGAGCCCTCTGCGCGTGGCGTTCCTGACCCAGCCGGCACCGCCGGGATCCCGGCCTGCACTCCATGGCCCCAGCAAGGCTGCAGGAGTCACTTTTGGCCACGTGTCACCTCGCAGGGTGGCAGAAAGGCTCCTCCCGGCCGGGGCAGCACCTGCATCGCAGCTTTTGCTACCTGGACTCGCCAGCTCTGAGCGGCCAAAGCAGCCCAGCTGGGGCCGAGCGCATCCCCGCGCTCATCAGCGCTGGCAAAGCCTGGAGAGCCACCAAAACGCTGGTATTTTCCAGCAGCGCATCCATCAGATCCGCTCCAAGGGGGAAGCCGCCGCTAGGACTTGCAGCTCAGGTGCAGCAAAATCTTCGCTAGCCCCAAGGCTCTGTCCCCGGAGCTGCTGGTTCTGCTGCCAACGCCTGATGGCAACGCGGCCTCGACCCGTGTGGAAGCCAAAAGGCTGGTGAATCCCAACGGACACAACTCCGGGCTAGCGAGTGTGACAGGACGTCCCTCCAAGCTGGCAGGGTGGCTCGTCTGCACGCGCACGGATCTTCCCAAGGAGGGAACAGCGCACCGGGATGCGCGGGGAAGCTGATGGCAAAAGGGCCAAAGGCAAGCAGGGCACGGCAGAAGAGGAGGAAAATAGGGACGATGGAAACACAGGGAGGAATTAAACACGCTGCGGAATGGCCGGATGGTGTGGGGTGATATTGCTGCAAGGAAGCCCTCGAGAGCCTCCCTCAGGCTACGCAGCAACCTCATCCCTCCTGGAATACGGCAACCATGGGGCTGGAGCGCGGATGCTCAAGCCCAGAAGGGCTGCTGAGGAGCCAGACCCCGGGCACGGGGCTGGGGGCAGACGAAGCTCCGCGAGGGCTTCGCGCCAAGGAGAGGAGGCGCCCGCGGAGCAACGCGAGGAGCCTCCGTCGCAGCGCGTTCCCCCGCCTGCTGCTCTCCCTTCGCAGCTTCCTGGGGGAGCAGGACGCCTGTCAGCTCGCAAAGCACGTGCCAAAACCCAAAGCAGAACCCGTGCCCCCCTCCAGGCAGCTTTGCCCCTTCCAGGGAGGCAGCAAATGCCCCCAGGCCTGAGCTCCCTCCCCAGCCCCGCGGCCACCGCCGGAGCCTGTCACCCGCTGGTGTCACCCCCAACACGGAGCCACCGCTGCCACAGGGGCATGGGTGCCTGCAGAGCCCCTTAGCTAACACTTTCCGCTCTAAGACCCTGTTTTTAGCTTCTAGCGGCTTTGCCAAACTTTAACCATTTAGGCTGTAGGCCTCCATGCCAAAAGCTTTCCTCGAGCTGAATTTATTGGGAAAATTTCATCTAGAAAGCTTCGGGCATTTGCCAGAATGAGGTTAGGGAAAATACATTGTTCTTCTTGAGCTAAAAATTCTTCGGCCATTTCAGCGAAATCCCTAGCACCTTCACACGTCGCAGCAGAGAGCAGAAATTTGGCAGGGGAGTCGCTGCGGGGCCTGGGAGCGCCTTTCCGCCACCCCTGCTTTGCCAAAGGGAATTCTGCGCGAGGAGCGGCCGTCCCGTC